GATAATCCAGAATATTTATTTACATGTGCTATTGGTTTTAGTGCAGTTATATTTGCATTAAAAGTTATAACAACACATTATACACCTGATTATAGTTCAAATTCATTATTTGGTTTTATTCCAGTATCAACAAAATATATTGTATGGGTTGAACTTATTGTTATACAATTAATTACACCTAATGTTTCATTTCTTGGTAAATTTTATCATGTTTTTGTGAAATACGATCTAAAAAGAGTGTTGAAATATAGATGTAGAAATTTGACTTTTCACAGACGTTTATTTACATACGACGAAAGACCATTATATATCAATAATGGCTCTTTATAATATATGACTTAACTGAAGTATTACATCGTATTTCATATTTTAATTTCTCAGAAATTGAGCTAACAGCTTTCTAAGTTATTTTGATTATGAATTGCTTTTTTTTAAAATTTAGGTCATTTAGCGGGAATTTTAGTTGGTCTTTTGTATACAAATGGTCCATTACGATATATTTGCAATAACATATATAATCTCATGTTTTAATAATTTGGTGATATCAAAAAACAAATGACATATGACAACAGACAAATTCTTTTGTTTTATTTTAGAAGAATTTCAATGTAAAAAAAAACAACTAATAATCCTGATAATGTTTTTCGGTTTTTGTTCGATGTATTCGAAAGAAACGTTTGATCGTATAGGTCTGTGTACTTTTCAACATCTTGTATTTGTTTTTCAATAGTTGCATTAAATTGAAATTCTGTAAATAAGTTTTAAATATGATCTTCCAATAAAAATATGTATATAAATTGTTCTTGAAATTCAAATGTTGTTATGAATAGAAGATCTTCGAACACAATAACATTAGTGATTTTGAATTTATTCTATATACTCTCAACAGTAATTTTCATTATGTGAATTAACATTAACAAGTCTATCTTTTTTCTTTTTATAAAGTTTGTTAATAAATAATTGTCTAATTGAAGAAGTAACTTGTTATTGTGAAGAAAGTTGGAATTAGAGATAAGTGAGGAGAAAAAAAAATAAAATCTCAAGAAAGTTCAGAATGATGATACAAGAAATCAATTAACACATTGGGCACGATATGGCCCACCGGTGGGCTATGTCGTGTCCAATGTATTAAGAGTGACACAGCAGACTCTGATAAAAGACATCCTTTATTATTAAATATACATTGAATTTTTCCGTATATTCTACCAGTCATTTTTGAAAAGAGAATATTCATAATAGCTGTTTGAAAATCTCATACAACAAAAAGCATCAACGTTGTGATAGTGAAATCAGCTTGTAATTATTGTTTAAATATATCAAATCCTAATGTCATTGAATTTGAATAAACTTTCTATCGAATATTATATGCTTATATTATAGTATCCAGAGACGACCATTATTCGATAAGGTCATCTGCTGATTTTATTTCTTCATTAAATTCTATTCTTTTTCCTTATTATTGAATTTAGTATGCATAAATCGAACAAGTCTAGGCAAATGTGTATTATCTTTATGCACATAGGAAGAAAGAGAGAGATTCATGATATGCATTATCACGCGACTATTATTAGTTTTTTTTTTATTTTTGTTCTATATAAATGAATTTATTTTTATTCACTCGCCCGCCTTGGATTTTCTTCTCGTTCAGACAGATAAATAATTGTTTATTTCACTCGATAGACAAGCTAGTAGACACTTCTATACTTTCTAATCTATGAGATAGACAAATATTTCATTTCTAAGACATATTATTTGATTTATATTTAGTTTGAAAAATAAATACTTTCATATAATCGATCAATGTTATCAAGTAAAGATCATTATAAGACCAATGGTATGTATAGATATCTTATAATTAATTTGATATGTTATCGAATATTTTCTTAATAGGTGATGATGATGATGATGATGATGATGATGATGACTATCTTTCGTTCGAACGTGGTAAGTAGAATTTATTTATAAATGCGAAAAAACTATTTGTGTAAAAATCTATTTTAGTTAGTATAAGGTGTAAAGATGATATCCCACCTGACTATTCTCAACTTGATTCATATCCTTCAAATGGCATCATTAATCAAAAATCCAGTCATGATGATCAAACAGAAAATGGTTCATACAATATTTCATCAACTGTGGCAATCCGTTCAAATGTATCAAACTTACAAAAAAAAAAAATTGATATACCAATATTACAAGCAGGACGTGGTACTGTACATTGGTTTAAATCTATTGAATTCAATTTTTTGTTATTCTTTTTTTTAGCTGGTGAACAAACAGTAGTTTACACAAATCATTTTTCAATTAAATTTGGTAAACCAGCAAATGAAGTAATTATCTATCAATATGATATTAACGTGAAAATTTTAATGAGTGACGGTTCATGGCGTACATGTATAAAAGATGAACGTTTAGAAGCTCTTCAAAAACTCATTAAAGAAGAACATTTTCCATTGGTTTGGTATGATGATGAAAAAAATTTATATGCTGCCAAAAGTTTAATATCAACATTCACCAAAGATTATGAATTTGAAATTGATCATAATGCAATTGACAAAAATAATAAATTTCGATGTTCAATTAGTCTGGTCAAAACATATGAATTAAAAAATATTTTTAATGTTATTCAAGAACGAAAATCAACGCAACTAGATGATCAAGTTAAAATATTTGATGTATTATTTAAACACATACAAAGATCTAACATGATTACCATTGAAAATGAATTATATCCAAAATGTCAACTCTTGAATGACCTAGGTACAAAGAAGAAATTCAATTTCGTTTGTTTTTAAATATAAATTTTCTTTTGTTATAGGTGATGGACGAGGAATAGGATCAGGATTTTATCAAGCAATTGTTTTTGGTGAACGTGGTCCAACATTGAATATTAATAATATATATCGCTGTTTTTATCAAAGTTACAATTTAATTAAATTTATCTCTTGTTATTTAAATTATGATATTCAACTATATGGTGAGTTTTTCGTGAAAAACTATTTTATATTATAATAAATATAAGAAATTTTTTTAGTAGTTTAAGTTGATGTTATTTATTTTCTCTGTTTGATAAAAATCTTGATCTTTTCATTGTAGGTATTTTACCAGAAGATCATACATTATTAATTGAAAATATTCTGAAGTTTCTTTGGTTTGTAATAAAATCTTCAAATAAAATTTGTCAATATCGTTTAAAATCATTTGGTTGTTCAGCAAGTGAACATAAATATGCTATAGATGGAACTAAACAAATAACAGCTGTTGATTATTTTCATGATAAATTGCAAATACATTTACGTCATCCACATTTACCTGTTGTTGAAATATATAATCCAAATGATGAAAATCAATCATATATTTTACCAATGGAATTAGTTAATGTTGATGAAGGACAAACAATTTTGCAATCACTCACAGCTGAACAATATGCTAAAATAAAAAAAAAAACTGTTGTTAGTCCTGGAGAACGTTATAAAATGATTCGACGTATTGTTAATGAACGTCGATTTAATCAAGATCTATATCTGAAACAGTTTGGTATTACTGTTAATACTGATGAAATGGTAATGTTACCAGCTCGAATCTTATCACGAGCAGAAATTAAATATAAATCATTAAATGATGGTTCATATGGTGATGTTATTGAAAGTATACAAATTGGTAAATGGTGTTTAAATAATCGTTTTAATAAAACATATGAAATACGTACATGGGCTGTTGTTTTTGTTAGTTCACATAAACCAGATTCTCAACAAATTGATTTAACAAGAAAATTTGCTCAAAGAATTTCCGAGGTTTCTATTGAAATATCTTCAACATGAATTAAAACAATATCTCTTTTTACTTTCTATCAAAGGCAATGTCAAAATATGATATTCGATTTAATTCATCACCGATTGAAAAGTCTATTGCAGCTGTACCGAAAACAATTATACTTCATATGAAAGAACTCCGAAAGCAAAAATGTAAAGTTATCTTTTATATTCTATATAAAACTGGTGATTGCATTTATCATCTGATGAAAGCTTTGGAATATTGGAAAAATAATGGTAAGGTTTATTTATATTATATATATATATATAATATCATGACTATTATTATTTAAGGTCTAGTAATTCGAACTATAGATTTTAAACACCTTGAATCAAAAAGTACTTCTACAATAGATAAATATTTCGCAGTATGTAGATTATTTTCATTTGATCTTTTTACTTAATTCTAATAAACAAAATTTCTTCAAAGAATTTGGTTGACATTTTAAATACCACAGCTGATGGTATCAATCAACTCGTATCATCAATATGGTCATTAACATCACCATCAGCTCAACATGATATATTTATGTTTTTTGGTATTGCTTGTACTCATATAACATATTCATATGAACAACCACCAATCACTACTATTATTGGATCAAAAGATTCAACAGGTAGAATATATACTAACCCTATACAATTTTCACCACAAGAAAAAGTTTCACTTAAATTTATCAATGAACTTCATATTTATGTTCGTCAATTATTATGTGAATTTTCTAATTATAATTCTTGTTTGCCAAACAAATTGGTTCTTTATCGGGCTGGTGTTGATGATGGATCATCTGAAAAAATACTTAACAATGAATTACCAGCTATTCGACAAGCATGTCAAGGTAAATATGATTGTTCAGAGACTGAATTCAATAAACAAATTCTTTTTTTTTTTAGAAATATATGGTCATAATTCATTACCTAAAATTTGTTTTATTGTTGTTAAGAATAATCATAATACCTATTTTTTTACTTTCAATAAGCAATCTAATCAAGCAAATAGTGTTCAACCAGGTTAAATGGATTTTATTTGATTTTGTTGTTTGAATATTTGTTTATTTTTTCATTATAGGAACAGTTATTGATACGGATATTGTCTTACAAAATGGTTTTCATTTTTATCTCAATTCCAATACGACTAAAAGTACATCACAACCAACATTTTATGAAGTATTATATAACGATATTGGCTTTACATCAAATGATATTCAACAATTAACGTAAGAATTTTCATTTGAAACAGAAAAAATTCTTATATTGTTTTTTTTTCTTTTTTTGCAACATGAATAGGTATTATTTATGTCATACTGACGTTGAAGATACAGATATTACACCTGTGCCAGCACCAATTCACTATGCAACACGTGGTGTCATATGTGATGATGTGCACACGAATGAAAGTAATTCGTGCTGAAGATGAAAATAATTTGGATCATGGACCACTTTCGTTCAAAAAAATTCAAGAAGATTTCTTGAATTTTTTTTGTATTTTTTTTTTTTATTTAACTTTTTTTTCTGTAATGTATAATAAATAAAAATAAATATATTCTTTATCTTATTATTTTCTTTTTATCATGTTCGGCTTCTAAAACAGTTCAATCAACCTCTTAATCATTACTAGAACCAGGATGTGAATATAAGTGTGAGTATAGATGTGAGATATGCACGTGGGTGTGTATGTGAAGTTGTAATGTGTGTTTGGACAATGCAAAAATGTTCATCCAAACCCACACACCCACATCCTGGTTCTAGTATAACAATAATAAATTACAAAAATAATGAGTTTTTTCCAGATGTTGTGAAGACAAAATTCGAGTTTGATCTTAGAGAGCCAAACGATCAATCAATTTGTTTCATCGAGAACAAAATGCCATAGTTCATACTTCACAATGGTGAAAAAATCAAAACGATATCGTTTGTTGTTTGAGAGTAATAAAGAATTTAAAATGGGGAGTTACTACTTTTCAAACACCCTGTATATGCTATTGACAATTAAACATTAAATAAACTTTGATTGTTACTCATTGATCTTATCAGGACTCATGAATTAGAAATATTTTCGATTTTATTCAAAAACGAATTGAAATACGAATACATGATCAAGTTAGAATACTTGAAACAGTACTTAAACAAATACAAAGATTTGATATCGCTACAAACAAATAGTTGAATTTGATTTTTTTTATGTATCAGTTTATATATCTGCTTTATATAATAGAAGACGAGTTGCATTAGAACATTTTCCCAAGTGGTTGTACTTGGTGAATATGGTCATTTTTATTCAAATTATAGTTTAATAAAATTTCTTTCTTGTTAATTAAATCATGATATTCAACAATATAATAAATTTTCTTTATCATTCTATGAGATAGAATGTATGAATAAATGATCTATTCTTTGGTAGGAGCCGTTCTTTAATTTTGTAATAAATACTCTAAGTACTGACAGATTTCGTGGTTTGGGAATCATTGCTTCTCTTTTGAACTATCTGCTTGATATATAACATATAACAATTTCGCATTTTACAGTCTAAAAGAGCATAAAACATTTATTGATTGTTTATCGACAAGTATGAAATTCAATGTCGAATAAAAAGCAAAAAAAAAATACCATTCAATCAGTTCTTCATTCATTCATTATCAACTGAGACTATACAAGAGCATATCATTGTTTTGATTGACGACATCAGTCAAACACAAAACATGAGTATATATATAGCTAAGGAAAGACATCAAAAAATAACATATGTCAAAATAAACATGGAAAATTCACTTATTCAATTAGATGATTTACCTGATGAAATTATAATGATGATTTTGAAAAAGTTGGATAACTGTGATGTATTGTATTCTTTAATAGGTGTTAATAGACGATTTGATAGGATTGTGAAAGATCCTATTTTTACAACATATTTAAATTTGACAGTGCCTCCTTATGGTTCACTTGACTTTACTGATCCAATACTTGATCGATTTTGTTCAAAAATTTTACCTTATATTCAAAATAAAATTGAATGGATCGATGTTGAACCATTGTCAATGGAGCGTATTCTTCATTCAAGGATTTATCCAAGATTATACGGCCTTGGTTTAATTAAATTTTCATCCAATAAAGCTCGAAATCTATTTACTGGTAAGATAATTATTTTTAATCAACTCGATCATTGATTAATTGGATTAGAATATTTATTATTAAAAATAAGTTTTGAAGAAATTTGACAATAAAGACATGATTTGTAAGAGAATACATTTATTCTTTACTTTGTAAATTCTTCAATTAATACTCATTGATTGAACAAGAAAGAAGCACCGTCGATGATGAGGTTTTTTTAAAATCATCCAAAAAATTGATTTATAAACAATATAAACTAAATCAAATATTTTAATATTTATTTAGATGGAAATTTTTTCATTCAAAACTTCAAATATCAAATTTCATCGCTTGTTGTTCGTATTAATAAATGTGAAGAACCGAAAACAATCAAAAATACAAATATTTTCATATATACACAAATCTTGACTAATTTCATTAATTTAAAATCTTTAAATTTCAATCCAACTCCAGCTATTGAATATTATCGATTAGCATTTGGTGCATCACCTCCAAATATTTCTTCATCAATTCTATTACATTTGCGTGTTGTCGTTGAATCTTATGAAGATTGTCTCTATTTACTTGATGGTCGACTCCATTGTCTTCAAACATTTTATGTTACCATTATTTGTTCATCTAATAGTCTTGCATCTCCACTAATCAATAATAGAGTAAGTTAATCATATTAATACCTTTTTTATTTATTCGAGTGAATGAATAATATTTACATTGATTAATTATCTTTTTTTCTTGTTTTATAGAGAATAATTGGGCATTTACAAAGTTTTGTGTTAATTCTTAAATCAGTGTTATTGTCTTACAATAATTTTCTTATTCCACTTTTACATCGAATGATAAACTTAGAAGAACTTAATTTATGTTTTATCAGTCATAATACATCAATTATAGATGGTAATGATTTAGAAATGAATATTATGAATTATATGACTAAATTAAAGATATTTAAATTTAATATTCATTCCATAATTCCTTTTAATAATCAAATTAATTTACCATCAAATGAATATATTCAACATACATTTAAAAATTTTATAAATAAAAATCAAATTATTTCATCAATTGATTCTTTTCCAAAAGCAAATCAATTTCATTGTCATATTTATTCATGTCCATATATATGGTTGGATTATAATAATATAACAAATAATTTTCGTGATGGATCATTTGAATCTGTTCGTAAACTCTCATTAGTTGATGAACGTCCTTTTGAACATGAATTTTTTCTTCGAATTGCTAAATCATTTCCATCTGTCCGAAGATTACATGTACATAATCGAGAACCACAAAAGAATAAAAATCAACAATGGTCAATTATTGAATATCCTTATCTTATTGAACTTAATCTTCTTCAAACTCATGACAATTATGTCGAACAATTTTTGAATAATAATAAACTATCTTTGGTAAAAAATATCTCTCTTCATGTGGATTATAATACTTTACAAAAATTAACAGACAATTTTACAAGTGATACAACACGACTAAATTGTTCCAAAATGAAGTATCTAACGTTATATAATCAACCACAAATTTGTTCTCCAAATTTTAAAGACTATTTTGCTCATGCAGAACTCTGGTGATTTTTCTTATTTCTTTTTTATTTCAATAAAACTTATAATATAAAAAGCACCGGCTTGTTTGATGTTTTATAGAAAAAAAAAGAGTTATATCTGTAAGACAAATTAATATGCAAGAGAGAATTAAGATTGTTAATCAAATTAAGTATTATCATAAGTTTTATCAACTAAACAAAACTGCCTGCTTCTAACGTATGTAATCGAGAGTACAATGTCGTCCAGATTATGAAAGTAAATTGTAGAAACAAAATTTAATTCGTATCTATTGTCTCTCTATTCCTCAATAATATAATTCAGAATGATTGCTGTTGTTTTCTGAATCAAAAATGGGCTTTGGTTTAACTATTTCACTAATAAATCATGTATAAGAATAACTGAGTGTACAAATATTTTCTCGTCATTTTGAAGAAAGAATTTTATAGAACAAAATTTGTATGTCTTGAATAAAATTATTTATCTTTTTAAGAGAAACATATCATGAGAAAACTATGAATATTCAGATATTAGAAAAGATATGGATCAGTATACTTTCTATTAGAGTGTAGAAGTAGCTGAATCTAAAACGTTATAGTCTAAAGATATATCTCCAATGTACTAGAACCAACCGACTCGAAATATCATGAAAGATATCTGTCAAATGTGCTAGAAATTCAATTTTTCTTTGTTGATAAAGTTTTTTCATCAAATATATTTACTGTTTCAATCGATTAAAGCTCGACCTATTAAAGCTTTTGATGTAACGTTAAATTTACGTACCGTTTTTTTCACTATTTTGATAAATGTTCATGGTATAAGGCGATAGTCAGACAAATCAAGAACATATTATCTTGTAGTCTGTTCAATTCTTCATCAGACGATATACCGAGCAGTAGAAGACTGAGGTTTTCTATGAATATAATAGATATCAAGCACTACTATAGAGCAAAACAATCCAGATTGTTGTAACGTAGTTTCGAATATTCTACTGTATGCTGCAGGAGCAAAATAAATATTGTCATAAGTTTTGGCAGAATGAAGAAGAATGCAAATTCTTTCAGTGTTTTTCTCAGAGAGTACACCTTACTCATAGATAAAAGATCCTTGAAATCGAAAGCAAACAGCAGTCAAAGTTTAAAAAGAAAAGTATATAGTTGATCGATTAGAGTTGCAGATATTTATTGAAATATTGTGTCAACATTTTAACTTACCCTCTAACATATTTATTTTCAATAAGGTAATTTTTTAGAAAATTTCTCTTTTTTTTCTTACAGTTTTGTTTAACACATTGGGCACGATGTGGCCCACCGGTGGACCACGGCAAGAAAGATTGAATATCTCCATTCTGTTTTAACCAAACGAACTGATCTTTTCGTGGACGATAGAGGAATGTTTAAAGTTTTTATTTATAAGAGAAACATCAATGAAAGCTGTGTTAAACTTTATAATTAGCTTCAAGAAAGGAACATGACCTTGTATAGGTTTCGAAAAAACTATATACATGCATGACAGCAGCTTTGAATTGCAATAGCTTTAATTTTATTTGAAACATATTATACTAGAAATATTTCTCTACAATGTGAAACAAATATTAATCTAATTTGTGAGAACTTGCTGAATTTACAAGAGTTTACTTATCCAAAGTAACTTTTAGAATACATATGTAATCAGGGGTGTCGCAAGGTCCTCAAGATTGGGGAGGGGGGGGGGGATCGATGACTCAGAAGGTCGACCGAAAAATTTTTGGTAAAATTCTCCGGATTGGGGGGAGAACGAGTGACTTTTTGAGAATTGATGAGCAAAAAAACGGATAAAATGCTGCAACTTTGCTGGGAAAAAACGAAAATTTCTCAAGATTGGGGGAGGCCCCCCCGCTCACGACAGCCCTGTATATTATAGTATTTTTTCGAAAATTCCAGACGGTTAGTTTACTTCTTGAGGCCAATTATAAAGCTTAACACAGCTTTCGTTGATGTCTCTCTTATAAATAAAAACTTTAAACATTTCTCTATCGTCGATGAAAAAACCAGCTTATTTGGTTAAAACAGAGTGGAGATATTTAATCTTTCTTGCCGTGGCCTACCGGTGGGCCATATCGTGCCCAATGTGTTAAATGAATAGAGAATTCTCCTTTTCAAACATCTTTGTAAAACCGTTAAATGTTAAAGGACTTGTTTTTTTTTTGAAAATATTTTCTCTTTAAATCAGAATACGTTTCATAATATTCATTTGTCATTAACTTAATTAAAGAAAGTTCTGAAAGAAAAACATTTAACGAATTGTTCGATGCTATGAAAACAACTAATATTTTATTCGACAGTGTATTTAAGAGATTTAATTGGTAATTTTCTAAAAGCTAAAATTTCTTTCTCATGATAATTTGGTTGAACATTTGAATAGATATGAATATCTGTTTACTAATAAACATAATACAATGGAAAATGTTTATATAAAATTCAACAATTGTTTTACTAATCAATTTTACTTTTTTTGTATGATGAATTAAAGGATCTATGATTCTTTTCTCTAGTAGATTAATATTAATTAATGAATTTAATCGATCTTTGCTTAATTGGTATATATTATTAGTACTATATGATCATTCAGATAAAACTGATGATTCATGAGATGCTTACAATTTTTTAAAATTTCTAAACAAACACGTAAATCATGATTATTTATTAACTATTGATCATCAACCGAAGAAATGAATCAAACGCAAAAAAATCGATTAGCTGTAACATTTTGCTTTTTTTTTATTGACACTTGTACTCCCAACTAGGGTCATTTTAGACCCTGTGCTTAAGAAATAAGAAAATAAAGGAGAAAAGTTTTTTTCTTCTCGAATTAAAATATCAAACAGCATCTTTTATCAAAGAGACTATGAAGTTTGTTATGAACGTTACGGAGTCACATCATAAGGAAGAAATATGGATGTGACAATATCATTCTAGAGTGCCGATCAATTCTTCTCTTTTCTTTTCTTCTGTTTCGTGTTTTACGAAAAGCACGTATACTCTGTATCTCTTTTCTTTTTTGCTCTTTATGATGTCAGTTATACTTTCATTCCTTTATGACTCAAGAATTTTTTACTTTGTCATTCTTACATCATCATATATTTCGAACTTTGATTTCTCCCAATTTGTGATATAAATTGAATGATAATGTGCAAAAAACTACAAAATAGGATGACGGAAGAAAAAATTGGTTGGAAAACAAAAAACAATTACTGTATCCATAATTCATACTAGTTATTGGGTCTAATATAGGCTTGGAAGTACAAATATTAAAAACAATATTTGTTTTTGCTTTCATAAAAAATGATTTATCACTGCTTTTTTTTGAAATAAAACATAATTTTTTTTTCGAGAATAGTTTTTGAGTTGATATAGATTTGGATATGATCATCATATGAAAAAAGAAGCATACATCACACCTACGCCCTGAAATAGAGAAGAAAATAGATGATGAATTGGAAAATGTCATTCAAACAGTAATATTGACGCATGCTTGGAAAAACCCAACAGAAAAAAGAGGAAAGAAATACCCAATAACTAGGGCTATGTTGTATATATATTAATGGTGCAGAACAGAACACAATATTCTCCAGCGCGTTTATCATTTATTTTTTCTCTGAATATAAAGAACAGTTGTTAACAGGTTAAGTAATAAACTATTAGTTTTTACAAGGTTTTATCAACAATAAGTTAGAAAAATTAACAATGATTGAATTCTATGTTATTTTGTACAAATTGAGAAAACAACGACGATATGTAATTAGTAAAAAAAAAATTAGAAATTCACTTTTGGTTTATCACTAGATAGCAGACTGATTTGTATTAAATCGATTACAAATTGGTCTCTTTTTGTTTGTTTCATTTTCAATGTTACACTTGTACTTTTTATGATGATCTTTATCAGTCTCCTCATTTTTTAATTTTTTTTATCTATTACAACATTGACCTATGATCATTCTTCAACTCTCTACTATTACTTTATTCATAAGTCTCATGCGTTTTTCTCATTTATTTTTCTCATTATTCATCTTATCTCTTCTTCTCATTTTGCTATTTTCTTTCGTTTCTATGCTCTCTTCTTTCTTGTTGTTAGAGGTGCTCAAAAAAGTATCTCAACTAAATTCGCGATATAACATGGTTCTACACTATAGTTTCAGTTCGTTTGCTTTTTCTTTATCATACTTAAATGATACTTAGGACACATCTTGGTATTTTCAATTACGTCATCTTGTCTTTTTCTTTCCGTCGATTATATAGACGCTCCACATCTGAGAGGTACAGATGGGTTCAGATTCATTATTCTATCGAACATATCATCCTAGCGGCTTGTTTTTATTGACATGTGATTTTGTAAGTGTCATCAAATATACTTCATACTAGTTTCGTTTCTTCTCTTCTTTTCCTTGGTTCGTCCTCTCGTTATTCTGTTTTCTTTTCATAATTTCTCTTTATCTCAAAGTCAAAAGACTATCCATCTCTTATAATTGCTTGTTTCGATTGTTCTTCGATTAGTTGGTTTATGCCATAATTAGAGACTAGTTGAAAGAAAGAAAAAGCAAATATCATTACAAAGTCTGACCAAATCATATTGTCTAATATGTTCTTTTCTTTCATACCTCTGTTTAAACTTGATAGCTTGTACAATGTATACATTCTTGCTGGCTTTCTTTTTTCTCCATCATTGAGATTGAAGCTCTAGTACTTCACAAGTCCATAGGTGTGTATCAATGTATGGACATAACATAAGTTTGGATAGGGATGCACCAATTCCAGAACATTGGCTTCAAAGATGGTATTTTTGCAATATGAAGAATCACCAATTCCGACCAATTTTTTGTATTAAACTTGACCGCCTTCAATCGATCTACCTGTAGTAATTGCCGGATTCCACTAAATAAAATCAAACGATGGCAGAATTGGTCGGAATTGGTCGAAAATTTAGGATTTTTAGCCAATTCCGACCAATTCTGACATCTTTTAATCATATTTAGTGCAAACCGACAACCACTA